GCACCAGTCTTCACGTGATCGTAGTATTAGAGCATATTGATTACGCCAGTCCTATTCGTGTCAGAAACCATCTGTTCAAACTTGTGTGTTAGCTTAAATGGATGAGCACTTAGTTATATTGATTATCACATGATTATTATTGTGGCATTTGATACATCATTTACTTGGCATATTTCTAGTTATATGGCTGATATATTGGATTTCATACTTTCGTAGTATGTTTTGAGGAAACTATACTTGTTTTACAGCGAGGGGTTAGTATATTCAAAGATAAATGTTTTCTTATAAGCCTTGTTTTACTGACCCACTTAACTTTGTTTTTCGCCCCTCCAGGACCTAGATAGTTATACTCTCTGTGGCACTTGAGTAATCACGGTAGTTCTGACATTTCCTTCTGTTTAGACGTACGAACTTATCACTATTATGTAATAAGTGTACTTTGGTTGCTTTCACTACTCTTTTGTAGTCTCCCTGTCTATTACGCTCTGAATAATTGTAGTGGGTTCAACCCACGAATTGCGCACTCTTTCACTGTTTAGTTCTAATTAGTTTTAATTTTATTCACTTTTTGTATCACTTATGCTTATGGTTACGTCACCTCACAGTGACGGCCAGCATGCTTCGACCTTTCCAAGTCGGGGTGTGTCAGCTTGGTATCAGAGCATAGGTTTAGACAGTCCTGCACTTCCTAGTGTGTTTAAACTCTTGTTTTCTTATGTCAGAACCATGCCACCTCATAGAGAGCCACGTTTTCCAGTGGAGAATAACTTTCCGGACTTTGGGCAATTTAGTTAGGCTATCGCCACTGCTATTCAGTCTTCACTCCGTCCTACCCCGAGGAATACTCTGGATATTGTATCCTGTTTGAAGATTAATGATTTCTATGGTAATGAGGGACCAGAGAAGTTAGAGATATGGTTCGATCATGTAGAGAAGACTTTTCGAGTTATGCATAGGCAGGGTAATCTTTCCCTAGAGAGATGGGTCGAGACTGCGACTTGGTTCTTTCGTTAGGGGTAGAATCTTGGTGGGATCATGAGAGGAGATCCTTATCTGATGCAGATGCTATAGATTGGGATGTTTTCAAACAGTTATTTCAGACCAGATTTATTCCTCCTAAGTATGTGGATAGTAAGAAGAATGAGTTCATAGACCTGAGGCAGGGCAATATGTCAGCCACATAGTATCATCGAAGGATTACTGACTTATCCCGTTATTACCCCGAGACTGCTGCTAATCCCTGGGAGATGCTTCGTTTGTTTAAGTGGGGAACATGCAAAAAATGGCGCACTATAACAACTGCTACTCCCTGTGCTACTTACCAAGATTTCTTCGAGGTTTTGTTTCGGATTGAAGATTCGAATAATGCTCTTGATGATGAGAATGAAGGTGTTGGCGAGAATGTCTAGAGGTACAATAACAGGGGGCGATCATCACTTGGCCCAAGAAAGGGTCAGAATTTTAAAAAGAGTGGAAATAGCTCTGGATCCTTGAGCGGGGGTTCTAACTCCGGTACACCTCAGAGAGGAGGCAGGTCCACTGGTGGTTCTCGTTTTCAGAACCAAGGAAACTCCAGCAGTTCAGGTGTTCAGTTTGGTTGCAGGTGTAACACCCGTCACTATGACGAGTGTAAGAGGGGAAGCAGAGGATGTTTCACTTGCAAACAAATAGGGCATATGGCTTATAATTGTCATCAGAATCAGAAGAATCAGCTTGCTAATCTACCACCGGCAGTCCCCCTGCAACAGCTTCCAGCACCTGGTAACCGTCAGTAGTTAGGCCACGGTAGAGCCTTCCACTACCAAGGGGGCGTAGTCCTGAATCAAGGAGGACCATACCAGTATACACATGAGGTTCCCTACTGCTAGGGAGGCTATCAGCAAACTCAGGGAAGTTATCCACAGTTCCAGGGAGATTATACGCCGTATCACGGCGGCGGAACACAGATGTATACTAGAGAGTAGTATCAGAACCTAAATGTAGCGTTTAGCAATGTATGTTCAGGCAAACAGGCAATTCCACCCCAGCAGGGCCGGGGTAATCAGGTTCAAGCAAACAGGGGTTGTGGAGGCAGACAGCAAGTTCAGGGAAGAGTTAACAACATCACCCTTCAGGATGCTCAGACTAATTCGGACTTGATCATGGGTACGTTGAATGTTCTAGGCCATTTTGCTAAATTTTTAATTGATTCTGGTGCTACACATTCAGTTATTTCCCATAAGTTTGCTTAAACGACTCAACCACATCCTACTTCACTCGAATACGAGTTGGAGTTCTCGATGCCTAAGGGTGAAATCTGTTATATTAGTTGGGAATATCAAGGATGTCCCATCCTTGTCGAAGATGTAGTCATGCTGGCTAATCTTGTTCCTTTGGATATCATTGATTTTGACGTTATCTTAGGCATGGATTGGTTACACTGCAATCATGCCAGGTTGGACTGTTATGAGAAAGTTGTTACTTTTCACCGACCGGGCATGCCTACTGTCATGTTTATCGGTGAGTGTGGTGGTCTAAAGCATGGAGTTATCACTACCATGAGGGCGAGACAACTGTTGAGTAAAGGTTGTCAAGGTTACTTAGCTCATGTTATGCTAGCGAAGGAGATTACTGCATCTGTGGAAGACATCGGAGTAGTTAGACACTTTCCCAATGTTTTTCCTGAGGAATGACCCGGCTTACCCCCAGATCGTTAAGTGGAGTTCACCATCGATATACTTCCAGGTACTAATCCTATTTCTCTTACACCTTACGGTATGGCTCATGCAGAGTTGAGAGTACTTAAAACTCAGTTGCAAGAGTTGGTTGATAAGGGTTTCATTCAGCCAAGCACTTCCTCGTGGGGAGCTCCAATTCTATTTGTAAGGAAGAAAAATGGAACCTTGAGGTTATGCATCGATTACAGGCAGTTGAATCGAGTGACGATGAAAAACCGTTATCTGTTACCTCGTATTGATGACCTCTTTGATCAGCTCAAATGTGCTTGTGTGTTCTTGAAGATTGATCTGAGGTCTGGTTACTACCAATTGAAGATCAAAAGCAACGACATTCTGAAGACAGCTTTCAGAACTCGATATGGTCATTACGAGTTCTTAGTGATGCCATTTGGATTGACTAATGCACCAGCAGCTTTCATGAACCTGATGAATCGAGTATTTTATCCATATCTCGACGAGTTCGTCATTATTTTCATAGATGACATTTTGGTGTATTCTAAGAATGAAATTGATCATGACAGGCATCTGCGTTTGGTTCTAAAGACACTAAGGTCAAATCGGTTGTATGCTAAGTTCAGTAAATCTCAGTTTTGGCTGGATCAAGTGTCATTTTTAAGGCACGTGGTATCAGCTCAGGGTGTGCTTGTGGATCCTCAGAAAATAGCAGCTATGGAAAATTAGGAACAACCTCAAACAGTTACGGAAGTTTGAAGCTTTCTTGATCTTGCTGGTTATTATCGACGCTTCGTGAAAGACTTTTCGACCATAGCACTACCTTTGACAAAATTGACTAGAAAAGACGTTCCTTTAATGTGGAGTAGTGAGTGTGAGCAGAGTTTCCAGCAGTTGAAGTATCTTTTCACTCATGCACCTGTCTTAGCACTTTCCGATGATGGTGGGAACTTCGAGATCTACAGTGATGTGTCTCTGAATGGTCTTGGTTGTGTGTTAATGCATCAGGATAAAGTGATTACTTATGCATTGCGACAGCTAAAGCCCCATGAGAAGAACTATCCTACTCACGACCTCGAGTTGGCAGCGATCATCTTTGCTTTGAAAATTTGGAGGCACTATCTTTATGGGGAAAAGTGTAAGATCGTCACTGATCATAAGAGTCTTAAGTACATTTTCAATCAGCCAAACCTCAATCTCCGGCAGCGTCGGTGGGTAGAGTTACTCAGTGATTATGACTGCACCATTGAGTATCACCCAAGTTGTGCCAATTCAGTAGCTGATGCTCTTAGTAGAAAGTCTCATGGCCAACTTAATGCTCTTTATGCTAGTCCCATTCCTCTTTTGACTGACCTAAGATCCACTGGAATAGCATTGAAAGAGGGTCGTCGGGGGGCCCTAATTGCCAGTTTTCAGGTCATACTGGTTATGTTGGATCGTGTTCTCGAAACCTAAATGAACGATATAGAATCTCAGGAATTGATACAGGCAGTGTCAGACGGGAAAAAGAATGACCTCTGGATTAGAGATCCTGACGGCATGCTTATGCAAGGCGAACGAATGTTTGTACCGAATGTTGAGGAATTAAAGAAAGACATATTGGATGAAACGCATATCTCTGCTTATGTGATGCATCCAGGGAGCACCAAGATGTATCATACCATCCGACACTTCTATTATTGGCCAGGTATGAAAAAAGAGATTGCAGAGTATGTTAGTCGTTGTGCAATTTACCAGCAGGTTAAGGCAGAAAGGAAAAAGTCGTTTGGATTGCTGCAATCACTCCCGATACCTCAGTGGAAATGGGAAGACATTACGATGAATTTCGTGTACAAGCTACCTCGTACTCAAAATGGTTATGATGGTATCTGGGTAGTAGTTGATCGACTTACCAAGTCAGCACACTTCATACCCGTTCGTGAGAATTACTCGTTGAATCAGCTGGCCGAACGGTTCGTCTTTGAAATGGTTAGGTACCACAGAGTCCCAGTTAGTATCATTTCTGACCGGGATCCTAGATTTACTTTGAAGTTCTGGGTAGCTTTTCAGGAAGCTTTGGGATCGAGATTACTCTCCAGCACTGCTTATCATCCCCAAACAGATGGGCAGTCAGAGAGAACTATCCAAACATTAGAAGATATGTTGAGATCGTCAATTCTACAGTTTGGAGACGCTTGGCACAAGCGCTTACCGTTGATAGAGTTCGCGTACAACAACATCTTCCATTTTAGTATTGGTATGGCACCATTTTAAGCATTGTATGGGAAACCATGTCGTACTTCACTTTGTTGGTCTGAGGTCGGCGAACGAGTTTTAGTGGGTCCTGAGATCATGGAGGAGACGACACAGAACATTCAAGTGATAAAGGCTAACCTGAAAGCAGCCCAGGATCGGCAGAAGAGTATCGCCGACAGACGTTCTACCGACAGAGTTTATAAGGTTGGTGATTGGGTATTCTTGAAGTTATCGCTGTGGAAATGTGTTGTGCGATTCGAAAAGAAATGGAAACTCAGCCCTAGGTACATCGGACAGTACCAGATCATTGAACGAGTCGGTGAAGTTGCTTATCAACTTGCCTTGCCACCAAAGTTGGCGAGAGTGCACAATGTGTTTCATGTATCGATGCTACGGAGGTACGTTTCTGATCCGTCACACGTAACCCCTCCTCAGCCACTGGAGATCAATCCAGATTTGACTTATGATGAGGTTCAAGTGATTCTTAGGAACAAGACCGTGTGGATGGTGAAGATTTTTTGAAGGAACCACTCAGTGGAGGGAGACAGAAAAGTGTATGTGAGATATGTATCCACGTCTATTTTATGGCTTTGATAGTAGTTAGTATTGAAATTTCAGGGACAAAATTTTTATAAGGAGGGGTAGATTGTGACGACCCGTCCCTAATTTTCCTATGTAATTTCTCCCCGAGTATGTGCATTGATGATTATGCCCTTGTCAGCAAGTGACGTGGACTTATTCTTATCGCCTTCCATTTTATTTCTCGCTATCGCATTTAAATTGTACACGCTAGTACAAGTATGCGTAAATTTTAAAGTGTAAAATATCTACTTCGGATAGATTTCGATTTCCTTTTACTGTAGGAAATCTAAAACCTATCCTTGGATTCCTTTTAAACCCATCCCATGCACTTCTCTGCATTATTCCAATCTCAGCTATGCCATCCCTTCTTTATTTTCTGTCCCTCTATCAGAAATGCAAGCATCTTTCTCTCTCTCTCTCTCTTCTCCCTCTCCCACGCCATATTTCTTCTTCTTCTTCCTCTCTGCAACAACCACAAAACACACCAAAACTCACAAACGTGACAAACCAACTACACCATTGTGATCATCTCAGTCCCACGATCACAACCATGTCCTTGAAATTTGACGTAGACGAGTTTTGACTCACCAACTCGAAAGGTCGACTCAGCAAGTTCAACATATCGATTTTCAGGCCATGCATGGCTTAGGTAAGCCTTGAGAAACCCTTAGAACCTTCATTTCACTTATATGGGTTGTTATTGATCCTTTGTTTGTGTTTTGAACGTGTGGTTTTACCCAGAAACTCAAGAAGAAGGAGAACCTGCCATTTTTCACTCAAGAACCATGGCCATTTGGTCACTTTCAAACCATTTTTCTGGTCAACCTCGACCACAACTGGACTTCTTCTAGGCACAAACTTGTTCTCTACATTCCTAAGTTCAAAATGGCTTTTGAATCGTAGAGTTTGGTTAAGTAACGAGTTAGAAATCAACTCTGGAAGTTGGGAAGAAAATTTTAGTTTTCTGGAAAATTTCAGCCGTGGTCGTTTGGCCACTTGCAGGCCACATTTCTGAACAATACGGACTATATTCGAACTTTCTATAAATTGGGATTGGTAGATCACATTTCTAGCTTTAATTTGGCTTTTGTAGAAGTGAATTTGGTTGGGAATCGAGCTCGTTAGGGGCTCTAGAAGTTGGCCCAAAAATCTGCAAAACTGCAGATTTTTGCGAAGAAGGCGAGTACAATGTACTCACGGGGTTAGGCAGCGTGTGGGGGAGCGTCCGGCCTCCGGCAGGCACGTGGTTGACACGTGTGTGTTCGTGTCGTCGAGTAGATCGATTTCATATATTTACACCCTAGGTTTGAGCAAACTATAGGGGTTTTATTTAGGTTTCCGTTATGTGCTTTAATTAATGTTATTTAGTTATTTCACATATAGGGGAAACATATTCCAAGGATTTTCAAGGCCAAGCCAGGCTCGAGGGCTACGACCCAGCGACGTACTTGTGAGTGGGCAGTTGTTTTATACATATATATATATATATATATATATATATATTTATAGTTTCCATAAATGCGTATTTACTTCACTTTTATGCCTAACTTGCCTAGTATTATTATTGTGATATAAATTGTGATAAATGCTGCTATATGGTTGTGATATTACTGTCATGGCATTCATACGTACTTGTGTACATGCTCATCTTGCTGCACTCGGTGTTAGTACTCGCCCTAGGGCCAGGGCCAGTCCTTCACGTGTATGTTCACATCCGCACCGTTCACTCACCTTGGATCCAAGTTTAGGTGCCAGTCTTGTCGGGTAGATTGCATTAGGCGATCCGACTTGTATGTGATGTGCTTTTGCACCAGTCTTCACGTGATCGTAGTACTAGAGCATATTGATTAGACCCAGTCCTGTTCATGTCAGAAACCATCTATTCGAACTTGTGTGTTAGCTTAGATGGATGAGCACTTAGTTATATTGCTTATCACATGATTATTATTGTGGCATATGATACATCATTTACTTGGCATATGATACATCATTTACTTGGCATATTTCTAGTTATATGGCTGATACATTGGATTTCATACTTACGTAGTATGTTTTGAGGAAACTATACTTGTTTTACAGCGAGGGGTTAATACATTCAAAGATAAAGGTTTTCTTATAAGCCTTGTTTTGCTGACCCACTTAACTTTGTTTTTCGCCCCTCCAAGACCTAGATAGCTGTACTCTCTGTGGCACTCGAGGAATCACGGCAGCTCTAACATTTCCTTCTGTTTAGACATACGAACTTATCACTATTATGTAATAAGTATACTTTGGTTGCTTTGACTACTCTTTCGTAGTCTCCCTGTCTATTACACTCTGAATAATTGTAGTGGGTTCAACCCACGAATTGCGCACTCTTTAACTGTTTAGTTCTAATTAGTTTTAATTTTATTCACTTTTTGTATCACTTACCCTTATGGTTATGTCACTTCACAGTGACGGCTAGCATGCTTCGACATTTCCAAATCGGGGTGTGTCACCAAATATTTTACATTTAGAATATGCATATGATGTTTGCATATATATATAATTGTGGTGCTGTGGACGCTCAGGTAAGCCCCAGGTGAGTTTATGAATTGTGAATGTGAATAACAGTTGTAATTAATTGAGAAACATTGAGCTCATAAACCTGCACCCTGGTGTTATTGATTTAGCCAGAGATATAGCACAGACCTGTATATAATGTCACCTTCCGCACCATATGCTCACATTGGATCCAATTTAGGTGCACAGTCTTGTCGTACAGACCATCATAGGTGGTTCTGACTCGTAGGTGACTAGCGATTTATCACACAGCTATCATGAGAGCGTAGCATTGAGCATAATTATATTATACCCAGTCTTGTTGTACAGACCTTTATAATGGTTCCGACTCATGTGCAGTGTAGTGCCGTATAGGTCACTTGCAGTGACTCCGGCTAGATTGACTAATGGGCTATGAATTCAGCCATACAGACTTCTGCAGGGATTCCAGCTAATATGTTATTTTTCCTTGAATTTATTATCACCTAAGTTACTTATTCTGTTTCATTTTTTGGCATGGCATACTTATGAAAATGGATATGTGAAGCATGAATTGAAATATATGTGTATATATACTAATATATTTATATTCCATTTCTGAGAAAATTATACATGTTTTACGGTGAGGGGTTAGAGTATTTGATAATGAAATGGTTTTGAAAAGCTTTGTTTTTGCCCACTCACACTTTCTGTTTTGCGCCTCTCCAGGTTTTAGATAAGTTTGTTCGTTGGTGGCTCACGAGGATTGACTGGAGGTTCTGACAGACTATCACAAATGTAGGGCATCTTTGGGTGTCGTTTAATTAGTGCTTGTTTTCTGGATTGAACTTAGGCTACTTATGCTCTGATTGTGTATTCACACATTTTCTAGCACTTACCCTAGCTAGTACTCTTATGAATTGGTTTTTAATTATTTGTATTCTCTATTATCATTATTGCTTCCACACTGTGCACATGGCTACATCACCCTCATGTGACGGTCAGCATGCCTTGATTCGGGTCGGGGTGTGTCACTTAATCCTAGAGTATACTACGAATTTAATTAATCAGTACCAACAATCATATGAAATTATGAATAATCAAGAATTCATTTTTTTATCCTAGAGTAGACTACGAATGTAATTAATCAGTACCAACAGCAACAATTCATTAAGTTAGTCCAGTTTAGTCTAGTATAAACCAGTCAAGCTTAGTCCCTGAAAGTAGTCCAGTCTAAGATAATTTGGTGCAACAAACGCAAAGTCGGAGCCAGGACTGTTTTCTAGGTGGCCCCTATAGAAATCAAGGCTAAGTACTAATGTCGCCTACATCTTCGAACCGAGAGGATATGAATTGCTAAGGCTAATTAAAACTTTTTATCTAGATTTTTGGTTAGAAAGTTTGGCTAAAATTCAATTTGTGCCTCTAAAATTGGCTACTTTCCAAAATTTCCCAAGGAAAAATTAGTATATGGTCCCTAGTTACTAATGTTAATTGATTGAAACCTTATTAGTTTTTCAATTTGATTGGAGTCCCTAGCATTAATGTGATAATGAATTTACATGTTTATTACATATTTTTTAAAATAAAAATTAGTACTTGATTTAGGGTTTTAATAATCACACCTCTATTAAACTCCTAATTAAATTTTCAATTCAAACATTTCCAAAATAAAAAAAAAATTAGAATAAGTTTGTTCCCATTAGTTTTTTGTAAGAAGATTCTCGATTTTTTATTCTTAAATGTACTCATTCATATAATTTTCAATTTTTTGAATCTTAAATGTACCTATTCTTAAATATACCAATTTGTTATATGTAAAATGGTACATTTTTTAAATATAAAATGTACAAATATTTTTTTACAAAAAGTACCCAATTTTTTAATATAAAATCCATTTTTAAACTTATATGGGTACATTCTTTTTTTGTTGATTTGAGAATGTATCTATGTCATGTTTAATCGAAGAAATTTACTAATGTTATTAAGCCTAATATCTTCTTCTTTTTTTTCTGTGTTTTGAAGAATGTATCCATGTTTTGGTACAATAATTTTTTTTTGTTAATTTTGATGAATGTACGTACCCATATTTACACACACACACACACACACAAAATATAATAGATGGTATAATTTATATTTTATTATTCATAATCCCACAAATTATGGGTTATATTTAAAATCTCATTAATATAAATAAATACAAATTTCAGGTTTTAATTTTTTATTTAAAAAATATAGTAACTTACACTATTACATTAATGTCAGGAACTTTGATCAAAACCTAAAAAACAGACAAGATTTTAGTTGAAGAATATTGATAGTTAGGGACCACATCCAAGGTGTCCCATTTCCCAAATACAATCATTACTCTCTTTTTTTTTTTTTTTTTTTTTTTGAACAAATTACTCCCGCATTTTAAGACTTATCATCTTAAC